CGTGTGCTCGTGCACACACACGCATGCACGTCTTTTTCACAGGTGAACACGCCAGGCGGCCAGCAGGGTGGGAAACCCCACCCAGAGCGACCATTTGACGAGCTGCCCCCACCTGCTAGACCCCCAGGACACAACCTGCCCCGTGACCAAGGGCACACCACCCTTCCCAAGCCCTCCAGTGCTCCAGGCTCCGGTTCCCATCCTGTGGGATGGGTGGAAACTCTTGGGGCCGCCTGCCCCTGACGCTGCTGCTGTGTTACGGGAGGCCAGGAGGCCGGGTGCTGGGTGCAGCACCCTGCATACACAGGCCCAGGGCTGGTCACCTCAGGAGGCCCTCCCAGTCCCTTGACCATGTGGGCTCGGTGCCCAGCTCAGGTTCCTGATTCAGAAGGCCTGGGCAGGGCACCACCGGACCCACCTGGGCCCACTCACCTCCAGCACCCGGCCAGTGATGAACTTCTGACAGCCGTCACACCGGATGCCGAACTTGGCGTGGTAGTCAGCCTCACAGTAGGGCAGCCCATCTCTGCAGGGGTGGGGTGTCGGGAGGGCCAGGACACCCCGTGTCAGGATAGAACAAGGGAACCCACCCTGAGTGACCAAGCCTCCCTCAGGTACTGCTGCCCTGCCTACATCTCCAAGGCCCACGACTCAGGGACCCCTGGGTCAGAGTGATGTACTCCACCCACTCCCCACCCCCACCCCCGCTGACCCTTGACAGAGCAGTTTCTCATGGAGAGGCAGGCCACCTTCCAATCCACTGACTTCAGCACCCAGGACAGCCACACGTGGGCCTCTGCCACCAGCCCAGGGAGCAAGCAGCAGCTCTGTCAGACTCCCTCTGCCCTGCAGGCCTACCTGGCCTGGGGAACACTCGCCTGAGCTCCAGGGCCCAGGGCGCCTCCCCGACCAGGGTCAGTCCTGGCCAGCAGGAGGGTGGGTGTCCCCCACAGCCTGGTCAATGGGGTGCTGATGTCTGCAGTGGCCCTCACGGGACCCAGGCATGACATTACCCCCCAGGACGTGATGCTGACCCCACTGGCATGTGGACCCCCGTCCCCTCGTGCACGGCCCCTTACTTGCTGATGTACTCTGCGCTCAGCGGCCTCCCACAGGCCTTGCACTGGAAACAGCCCACGTGCCAGTGCGTGTCCAGAGCCAGCAGGGACTGCCCGTTCCTGATCTCAGCGCCACAGCCGCCGCAGCCTGTGGGGGAGGGCTCACTCAGTGGGGACATCAGGTGGAGCAGTGGGAACAAGGGGAGAGAGCACCCCAGGGCCCACGGCAGCCCCCCACAGCACATGCTCTGGCCAGCAGGGCGGGGTGATTGCTTTGCCTGGTTTGTGACCAGCTGCCCCCACATCTTCTGCAGACTCTACATCGGCTGCTCATCTGGGGGCCACCCCTTCCTCCCCAGGACATCTGGTTGTCACCAAGGGGTGATGGTGTCATGGGGCAGTGGCCAGGTGCCACTCCATTCTGTGCAGAGGACAGGACCCCAGCTTTAGGGATCGCACATGGCCAGGGGCTGGTGACTAGGAGAGAGGACAGAGGGAGGGTGGGCATCCTGGCCCAGTGCAGCCCCTCCCCAGAAGCAGAAGGGACACACTAGTCTGAGATTGGGCCATTCTGACACAGGGGCTGGGAGGGAGCTCAGAGACCCCACGCAGGGCTGGCAGGGGTCTCAGAGACCCCATGCAGGGCTGGCCTGGGTGGTTGTATGGTCAGTGGACCTGGCAGGGGGAAGGGGTCAGCTCTGAGCATCACGGCAAGGGTGCCACACCTGGGGGGCTCCCTATAGTCCAGTGCCACTGGACCACCTGTCTCCATATCCTGCTCCCGGGCCTCAGTGCAGGCGAGGGAGGGCCCATCTGCTGGCAGTGGGCACCGCTCTCAACTGCCCAGAGCCTAGAACTTGCAGGGGGAACCTGGCTCTCACACCCGCCCACCCCAAGCCCCTCCCTGTACTGGGGCTGTGGGTGGGCGTCTCCGGCAAGGTGCTGGGAGAGCGTTACCACGGAAACAGCAAGCATCCTTCCCAGAGCCCCAGGAGCCCTGTGCAAACAGCCACCCAAGGGCCGGGGAGCGCCCCCCTCCCTGCCGTCAGCTCCCCCCAAACAGCCGTGTGAGGCCCATGACTATCTTCCAAGAGAAGGTGTCCCCCATAACGGTGGGGGCATGTCCCCCTCGAGGGGGCCCCTTGGGTGTGTCTCTCTCTGGGGCCAGAGGACACTGTCCACCCAGCCTGGCTCTATCATCAGCAGTAATGGGGCGGGGCAGTGGGGGCTGGGACCTCTTCCCCCGAGTGACTGAAGTCCTTGCCCTCGCAGAGATGAGCCTGGGGAGCCTGGGTCTGCCTCGGACTGGCTGGGGGCTGTGGAGTCCTGGGCAGTTGGCTGCACCTGCTAGGATTCAGCCGGCCCCCTCCCACTGTTCCCCAGGCCAGAGCCCAGGATTAGCTCAGGGGAAGGTCTGCCTGGGCAACCCACCGAGAACGGGCAGTGGGTCCAACAGGGGGGTCCCCAAGAGGTGGTGGGCTGGGCATATGGAGAGGCCCTAGGTCACCACCCATGTCCGTGCCTGGCAGGTGAGCCCAGCCACCCTGTGGGCTCCAGCTGTTACCACAGCAGAGTGGAGTGAGGGGTTGGTCCCACCCTTCCCAGTCCCCACCCAGCCTCCCTTGCCTCCTGTCTCAGTACCTCCTCCACCTTCCCAGCCATGAGACAGGAGGGGCTTCTCCCACATCCTAGGCATCATGGTGGAGGACCAGGGGGGTGGGGGCTGAGGTGGAGGGCTGGCCGCTGGGCCGAGGAGAGGTGCAGCCCCAGACCACCAGGAACCAAGGGCCCAGCCTGCCCTAGGTCACAGGACCCATCAGGAGATGTCTGGGCCCCAGCTGCCCTGTCCTGCAGGCCTGACCCAGTGTGGGCATCGGGGCTCCCACCCTGGCCAAGCAGCCTTGCCCCCCACCTCCAGCAGCCCCGCAGGGCAGGGCCCGGGCCTGTGCCAGGCCGCATGCATGGAAGGCAGCAGGTCCAGCCTGGGTCCAAGCCACCCACCAGCTGGCTGGTCCTCCAGGGGGGCTGCCCAGCAGAGAGGGGCTCGGCAGGGGCACCAGGGGGAGCTGGGCTGAGCGCCCAGGTTGGCTGTGATCGAGGGGTAGAAAAGACCCCATCAGGGCCCAGAGTAGGGAGCAGGGCTGTGGAAAGCCTTCCGCATACTGAAGTGTGGAGATGTGGGTGGGGGATTCACAGGAGAGGGCGGGGAGGACCCAGCTGAAAGGTGTGGCTGTTCCTAAGCGACAGGTCCAGCCCCCGCCTAGGAGAGGCAGCTCTTCCCACCCACCATGAACAAGCCAGGAAACCTCCCCCCTCGGGGTGCCCCCAGGGCCTGCACCCCAGCCAGCCACCTTAACACGGTTCATCCCCAAACAGCCAGGCTGCCTGGGCTGTCTCAGCAGGACTTCCCATCAGCTGTGGGTGCAGCCAGCTGGCCTGGGGAGGGGGAGGGAGGGGGCGGTGGCCTGTCCCTCTGCCGGCCCTCCCTACACACAGAAAGGACTCTGTCTGGCTCCTCCCCCACCTCTCTACTACTCTCCATTCCCCCACCCCCCCAACCCACCTGCGGGGCCCTCCATCCTTTGGTCTCTCTGGGCACAGACACCCCTTTGTGAGAACAGATTCCAGAGAGCCGGACCCTACCCCCCACCCTGTGCCCTGGAGAAGCCCCTTGGGGTCACAAGGCAGGGGACACCTGGGGGCTGGGAAGGTCAGAGGGCAGGAGGGCCAGGGGATGGACAGGTGGTGAGGGGAGAGTCAGGGGATACAGGGGGCAGTCAGGAGGGTCAGGGGAAGGCCGGGAAGACAGGGGAGGTCCATGTGCAGTGACCTTGGAGCCCTGGGGGCAGGTGGGTTGGGGAGCCCCTCACCTGGAGATGGGGAGTGGCTTCCTCTGGGAGTTGATAGGCTGTCCTGTTCAGGCCCTGGCCCCCAACCCCCGGTCTGGGCGTGTCATGGGGACCCCCTGGCTAGTGGGCACAGTCGGGGCTGTCCTTCCCCAACAGCCCACCCCACTGAGCACCCAGTAAACAGGGGGAAGCACTTGCTGCAAGCCCGCCTGGGGGGTGCTGCCCCAAAGACCAGGTGCTCAACCCCTGAAACCCACAGGTCGGTTCCCTCCCAGGCCCCCCAGAGAGCGCAGGAAGCCCAGGTTGTGCAGTGAGGTGCATGGTGCTCTGGTGGGCTGGACAGGCAGAGGCCAGAGGCTCCTGGAGGAGGCAGGCAGGGAGCTGGCGGCAGAAGCAGCAATGGGCGCATTGGGGCAGGTCAGAGAGCCCTGCCGTGGCGTTCTTCCCAAGCAGCCACCAGCATTCACCCCACAGGCCAGCTGGGGTCCCAGTGTGGTCAGGCCCTGCCAGGCACTGCCAAGGCCACCCACCATGCTGCCAGTGCCCACTTACTCCGGAGGTCCTGGGACTGGACGGTGCTGCTGGTCAGTGTGGTGGGCAGTGAGCATTTCTGACACAGGCACATCTTCCCATTGAAGGTCACACGGTCCCCAGGTGGGAAGGGCATCCTGGAAGAGAGGGCAGCACGGCTGGGACCCCCTCTCAAGGGTGGGGGAGGCACCCCCAGACTGCTGGTGATGTGCTGCCAGCTTCCTCAGCTGCAGCCAGGACCCCCAGCCCCACCCCATCCCACCTGCTCCCCGTGACTCCTCCAGGGCCCCGCCTCCTCGCACGGCATGATGCTTGGCATGGCGGCATCATGGCTCTGCAAGGGTGCTGGTGACCCCATGACCTCCACAGCAGTGGCGGCTTCCCAAGCCTTCGCCCAGGCCTGGAGGCTGGGGCTCCGCTCAGCCAGTGCCAGCTGTACCAGACTCTGAGCCGGACACCTCACTGCGGGCATGCCTCGTGGGCTGCTAACCTCAGGGCGGGCAGTTCAAACCCACCAGCCACCCCCCGGGAGAAAGTTGAGGCTGTCTGCTCCCAGCGAGATCAGCAGACACAGAAATCCTCGACAGTGGTTCTCAGCCTTCCCAATGTGGAGAGCCTTTCACGCAGGTCTTCATGTGGTGGGGGTCCCCAACCTCATCACTGTCAGTTTGCTACTGCTATGTATCGAGAGAGCCCTGTGAAAGGGTCGTCTTAACCCACAGGTTAAGAACCACTGCTCGATGGGGTCTCTGCATTGGAATTCCTCCTTGGCTGTGGGTTTGGGGGTGGGGCTTGTGTGTTTTTAATAGCTGGAGTATACAGTAGGAAATCCAGTGTCAGGAAGAGTCCAGAATGCTGCCCGGGCAGGACACACAGCTCCTATGTGTCAGAACCAAATCCAAATCTAGATCTGGCCTCACAGTTGAACGATGTGCCCCTGGGACCTCTGAGGAGGCGGAAAGGCCTGGAGACGTCCTTCCAGGAAGCGAGCCCCTGAGACCTCAGGGGCACAGGCACGGTTTGACCGGGTGGTGGGGGCCAGGGGGCGCCGTGAGCAGGCATTCACACCGTAGCGGCTGGTTGGAAAAAGCATTCCCTGTGGGTCCCAAAAGGCACCCAGCGACGTAGTAGGTTACTCGCTGGGCAGTTGGCCAGTCAGCAGTTCAAGACGACCAGCCCCTCGAGGGGGGGGGGGGGGGAGAGAGGAGGCTCTCTTTTCCGATCAAGAGCTACCATCTCAGAGACCCACAGGCACAGGGTAGGGTCTCCTACAGGGTCTGGGTGAGAAAGCCTTGCTCTGAGGGCAGCGGTTTGGGTTTCGGAGATTCCAAGGTCCTGCCTTTCCTGGGGAAGAGGGGGGTGCATTTTGTCCCAAATAAAAAGACCGGACTGATAGCTCTGAGAGAGACTAGGGCACAGACCCGCACCAAGATGGTGGGCCCCTGACTCTCCTTCACACCTGGAACAGAGCCCACCCCAGGGACCACCTTTCAGCCAAGCCAGGGGCTGATGCGCTACCACGGTCGGTGCCACCCATAGTGACCCTGCAGAACAGAGCAGAAGACCCCGTCGGTGCAGAGACTAGCTCTTGACAGGAGTAGAAAGCCTGTGTGGTAGTTTCATCTGTTGTCCATTTGAGACTTCAGAGTGAAGGGGTGGAGTCTACCCTGTCAATCAGGTGGCAGCTTGATGACCTCATTTGGAGGCGCTAAGGAGATAAAAGAGCTCGCTGGAGGCAGGACTCAGGCTCACTCCCTGTAAGACATTGCTGTTGACAAGGCACATGGAGCTACGCTAGAGCCCTGGAGCTGGAGAAGCCACATGGAGACCCCTGCCAGCACTGAGATGCTTACAATGCCACTGGATCCACAAGACTTCCCACTCACTGGCCTGTGATCTTCCTGCACTGGGTGTCATTGCATGTGTTTCACGAATCTGACGAGGACTTTATAGACTGATATCGGACACATGGGCCCAGGGCCTGCACCCCAGCCAGCCACCTTAACACGGGTTCATCCCCAAACAGCCAGGCTGCCTGGGCTGTCTCAGCAGGACTTCCCATCAGCTGTGGGTGCAGCCAGCTGGCCTGGGGAGGGGGAGGGAG